AGGCAAATGGCCGCCGAGTGAGACTAGGGAGCCGCCTCTCTCCTCCGCCTCCTCTTCTCTCGCCCGCCCGGGCCTCCCCCGCAAGCGCTGGCCGCGCGGGTTCGCTGCAAGACAGGCCACCAAGCAGACGCGCGGGGGCTTGGCGAGCTCTCGGGAAAGGAAGGTGGCCACTGGGTTTTCTTGCGTTCCCACGTCGCAAGTTCCAAACGCGTTTCGTCTAAAGCGGTTTCCCGAGCGCTAGCCCTGCTGGTCTGTTGCCAGAAAACCAACAGAGTTGCGACCCCTGAAGCCTGTACGAACCGTTTAGTTTACTGACTGGACCGTTTTATTCTTTTAAGGTTTTTCAAACCAATCCTGTTTTTGAACTTTATTGGACACCGCGTTGAGTTTATGCAGTAGGAAGCGATATACTAGGGCTTTTATATCCGGGCTGCCAAACTCCGGACCACCAGGAGAGGGGAGCCAAGTGTCAAAGAATTTTCTGTACTTGAACTGCCAACTCGCGGTTGTTCGGATTTTGGCAGCACAGATATGGTGGCCCTAAGGGTATAATTTCTAAAAAATAATAAAATCAAAATACGGCACACTTTGAATCGCTCACGCCATTAACTCACTTCAGAGGAAACAGCGCCACCTTGTTTACATTATAATTGCGATGATTAGCAATATTATTATTATTATTATTGCTATTATTGCTATTATTTAGTAGTAGTAGTAGTAGTAATAGTAATTTAATTTCTATACAGGTTTTCCCCACGGGGAGCCCAGAAAACTTTACAACAGAATAAAATAAACCGATCCTTTCAGAAACAATACAAAAATTAAAACAAGGTTACTTTGGAAAATAATGACACTGGCAACCTAAAAAACAGCCTAATCCTGGAGTAGTTATTAGCCTAGAAAAGCAAAATTAAACAGGCACGTCTTCAGCTGTTCACCAGAAAGACAACAGCATATCAATAACTAGCAGTGTTGATCCATGAGAATTAGAAGGGGGGGGATTCTAAAAACCAGGGATGTGCAAAACTCTGATCCAGGCATCAATTCTTCTAATTTTTTCTAGAACATGCTTTTCCTCCAGAATGTACTGATTCTACCTTTCCAAGGATGGTTCATAATGTTCCAGAAGTAAATATTTCAGAACAAAAAGTCGTTCAACAAAAGTATCCCAGGTGGATGGAGATCCAAATCCTATTTCAGAGATATGGGAGGAGTAACATATGCTGTTGCTGTACATGTGTTAGAAGCCATTTGTATATTCTGGGTTAACTCATCCTAATGTCCTCTGTTTTAGGACTAGAGTTTAAATCTGGAGAGCTACAGATTCTGATTTTTTCCCCAGATTCTAAACTTTAGATAGCCATAAAAAATCTACTAGGCAAATGTGTAAATTTAGACCAAAAGTTTTCTACATTTTTACATAGTTTTCCTTCTGACCTGGACAATATATATGTTATATGGAGACATGTCTCCAATGCTGTATTTTTGAAAAGGTTTTGGGAATATTTTAAATTTTAATTCAGAAGGAGAGCCAGTGGGGTGTAATGGATAAGTATGTGGACTAGGAGTGGGAGACCCAGATTGTAGTCCCTCTTTAGTCATGGAAGCTAGTTGGGTGACTTTCAGCCAGTCACTTTCTTTCAGCCCTAGACTGGGTAGTCTGAAAATATCTATCTACTAACCCCACACTGGGCCAGCATGGTATATTGTAGTCCACAACCTTCAGTGAAGAGGCCATCCTGCAGTGGTTTGATTCAGGCTGTTAATAATATGGAAGATAAAGATATTTGTATGATTAGACAAACATGAAGCTAAAACTTATGAAAGACATCATTTAAGATTTACAAGAAACTCCTCTGCATATGGTAGTTTCCATTCCATTTAAATACAAAAGAAAAGCACCAGTAAGACACGTGTGTAAAATATGGTCAAAATTGCAAATATTCATTTCATTTCAAAATTGCAAATGTTCATTTATTGACTGTATTTTTATACTGCTGCATTTCCAAAGGACTCAATTAAATGAAGGGATATATGGAATCCTCTTCCAGATACATCCACCAAATTATAGGGGACACTATCAAATATGGCTTGGGAGGTAGGAAAAGGTCCTTGGCTGACACAATTTCCATCTCATAATTAGGTAGCCTTTCCAATAGTCCGTGCTTCTTATATCTGAAGCAGGTTGGTTTCTTGAAACAGAATAGGGTTTTTATTGGCATATTCCTTTACCTTACCATCTCCTTGGGTGAAAATCTTGGGAGGTGGTGGTGAAGATTCTTAAATATTATGATCTGGGATTTTGGCATTTATGCTGAAGCTAACGTTTTTGGGCAACTTGGGATTCATGTCAACTATGGGCCTTTTCAACTTACATCAGACCAAACGTATCCAGGTGGGAAACCAGAGTATAATTCATCAATGAGAGTTAGTAGATTGGACTACTATGATGTGTCCCAACTTGATGTGTCATGTTGAATACAAATTCTGATGGAGAATACAGCCAGTTGTAGTTGTGTTTTGAACTATGAAGCCATAAATCGTGTACAATCTGCAGAGTTATATAGAAAGGGATAGGCAGTGTTCTGGACAAGATATAACACGCAAATGGGCAGGCCAGAATTTTCTTCATACTGGATATGTATCTGCTTTAGTAGGATTTACGTGTATTAAGCCTCATATGTTGACTTGCACACCATTTGCTGTATAGTCCTCAATCAAAAATTAATGGGCAATCATACACATTGGTGATTTGCAGTAAAAATCTGAAGAGTTTTAGAATTGCCAAAAGGTGCAGAAAATTTGTATGACCTGTCTACACTGGTCTACGCTTATGAACTTGTCCATGTATTAGAGGCTTTACTTGCTGGTTTGCCATTAAGCCATGTATAGTGCTGCATAGGACTGTTTTGCCACAGAAGTTCCTCCTGATTTAGCTGGCTTTTATTGTTATTGATCTTTTTTGGCTTTGCCTTGGTTAACTGGTAAATTCTTTACATTTTCAACACTTACATTTTCATATAATTTTTGTGAACTTATTCTGTTGATATGGAATTGGATGTTTTATACTCCAAGCTGTTTTTGGAAGACTGCACTCAAAAAAGCATATAAGAAGTATGGTAAATAAAACATGTTATATTAGAAATACCCAATTGGCTGCAGCACATACTGAATTTGTTGAGATCCAGTGTTTATTATACATTCAAGAGTTTCCTATATTATATATTCCCATACTCAGATCTCTGAGCAGTTTAAAAAAACAGTAGGGTAGTTGACATATTAACATGGCATTGTCTTCTTTTCGCTCTGGGATTTTAGACATTGTTCTTCTCTATCACCTGTACATTGACCCTATCATCAGAAAAGCTGGGGACTGAAACTGGGCTATCTTACAGCAAAGCAAACAATGCATGTCTGTTTTCAACAAAGCCTATTTTCAGGTGCATGGTTAGAGGACTTCAGGAAACTTATCTCTGCTTCTTCGCAGATTCAGATAAGTATCTGCTTATGCAACTAGTATGTAAAAATATGCATGTGTACACACACATACACTAAGATCACTATTGGAAAATGGGCATTAAAAGTGGGTGTGACGCAAAGATTTATATTACAGAAGCTGTTGCAATAAGACAACAGCTCTGCCCAAAAAATAAGGCGGTAAGTATTGTAGATAAAGTCATATATATGTTGGCAATGATGGAACTTTCCTTCTTCCCAAGTAGGACTGAGGTCCTTTTCCTCTCAGAACATGAGAATCTTGGGGGCTGTTCAGAGTTTGAGACTATTATTACAGTAATATAAAACAGTAGAAGTTAGAAGGGTAGTATGTGTGTTTGTCTTATGGTTGGGCTAAATTTACCATTCGTTTCTAAGTATGTATTACTTGCACTGTTTTTATTTTCTGTTAGCTGGTTTGAGCATAATCTATTGGTCTAAAGATGGGATATAAGCAAATAAATACATGTGAAAAGACATATTAAACATTTATTGTATGATTGTCTAACATTTTCTTCTCAAAGTCTACTCGGCTTTTGAGTAAGATGCTGGGAGATGTAATCTAAAAAGCAATGGCTGGGCCCAGAAAAAAAAATACCCCATTTGTATTTTTTAATGAAAGTAGCATTAAATACACAAGTTCAGTGCTTGATGGTGGCAAGTATGTGCAAACTTACAAAGAGCATGAATTCCCATTTGGAAAGCAGGTGAAATATGTACCTAGAATTTCCAAAGATTAAAAATTATACAAATGATATGGACTAATGTAGCAAACTTAAGAGACAGCTTCTCATAATAATATTAAAAAAAACCCTTAAACTTTTACTAAAGCACATCTTTATTTTGCAATTAAACAATTAAGATTCACAAGTAAACTATATATTTTCAAGTTTGTACCTAGACAACTATTTGTCAATCAAAATTAAATATATCCACAAAATATGTATAACAGCATATGTTTCACATAATAGAAGGAAGTTGCTCTTAAGACTAAAAACAAGATTTGTTAAATGTTAAATATTTACTTATTTTCTTCTGGGAGCTGCTGGTATTGTATGTATATCATTAGTGTACCTTATTAATGATGAGGATCTCCTTATACTCCAATGCAGGCAAAACATATAAGGCCCTTTTTAAAGCATACAGTAGCTGCAGTGATGAATGATGAATTCTTTCCACATTGTCCAGTGTTAAACAAATCCAAGTGCATGTTAAACAGAGCACATTTCCTGCTACTTAATGTAGAGGCTCTTAGCTGAATAATCTTGGTTTCTAAAAAATGAAAACACGCAAGTTCAAAGACAAATCAATCTGTACGAGAACA